TGCCATTTTAATGAGCTCTTAAGTGGGCGAAATACCAAATACGGGACATTAAAAGAAATACAGAACATTTAGCGTCCCGTATAAAATAAATTAATTAACAGGACAATGGGTAAAAAAAGAGGACTGTCCCGTATAATACAGGACGGATGGTCACCGTAACTATAATTTAACCTGAGCTGAGCTCTTTAACACCCAACAATCGGCTGCGATTTATCGTCAATCATATAGATTTAAAACAGAATAAAGGGAACACGAAAACAACACAATGGACGACATGTAGACTGAGTGCTGTGCTGTTTTCTTTACACGCTTTGCTTTGTTTTAGTTCCGACAAATAAAAAACAAAAAAAAAGTCACTTAAGATGAAATCTATATGTGAAACACCCTGTAAAAGTCGAAACCACAAATGACAACAATAGTAAGTTTTAAAAGATTCAAAAGACAATACTGGCGGCTTTACGGCGATATCCGAATTGGCAATGTTTGTATTTTTTTGCTGCTTACTTTTTATTTATTTTTTTTATAGTTGCGGTAGTAGTCTGAATGACGCCAACTACATACAACAGCAACAATGCTACCAACACATCGTTGTAAACATTTATACTTGCCAAATAATAATACAATTCTTATCAGCTTTTACACGTTCTCTTCGGTTTCGTCTTAGTCGCCTGATTCCTTTCGCCTTGCTCGTATGCAGTATGTAGTCCTTGCCAGCCGCCTGACCTTGAGTAGGGGGGCAACGTAAAAGTTTCAAGGTTTTCAGTGAACCAAACACATACCATACAAAAAAATATCTACGAGATTATTGCCGTGAAAGGGTTAATGTTTGGTGCTTTCTCACTTTCACCACCTCTGCTTGCTTTCGCCTGCTCCTCCGTTTGTCTTACCTTTTTCACTTAAACTGTCTCACAAATGAAGCGCAAACTTTTATGGTTATTTGGAAATTTATGATGTCGCGCGCTGCCTTGTGGGGTGCAACGTTGCTTAATGATAACTTTTCATTGCATATATATAGGCGTTGGCACATAATTTTTGCCATTTTCAAACCATTTAGCTGAGTACATAGTTTCTTTTGCAAAGTTTGCAATAAATAATGCGCGTAAAAGGTGTGGCAAAAGTTTTTAAACTGCCAACAAGCAAAATAAAAAAATAAAAACTTTTTAAGCGTAAAGTGTAAAAAAAAGGTATGTATGTACAGAGAAAAACTAACAGGCGTTGAAACGTGTCAATTACGTACGCAATTACCCGTAATGAATCCATGCAAATTAGCATTTTGTATTTGCAAAGCTATTTTTTTCTTGGACTTTACACGATTGTAAATGTATCTACATTAAATATATGACTTTTCTAAACTTAAAAAAAATATATATATCTATGAAGGGAGGATGAGGAATGACGAAAAATCAACAAACATAACATATTTGTCAAAATTTAAAACAAACAGTTCCTGCAGGAATCACCGAGAAAAAAAATTTTATACTAAAAAAACATTTTTTTTTTCTAATTCTAAGTGTGATCAATATGGATCGTTGAGTAGCACAGTGATCTTAACCATACATTTCAATTTAAGAACGATTCATAAATGGCTCAAAAAGAAAAAAAAGTGCAGAGTATTGCTTGAAAAAGTGTAAACTTCGAGGTTTTCAGGTTCTAAAGTTTTGCAGCAACCTCCTATCAACTTTCGTCTTAATGCATATCATCAGATCGGATAATCGTGCAGCTGAACTAATTATTTTTTCGTGTGTAGATAACCGAGTTATAAAAAAGACAAAGGTTTCTTGAATTTCCCCATAAATGTATGTATGGGGGGAAATTCTAAGTCAATGGAATAAAAGAAAAAATAGTATACTCATATGTAGAAACCAATTTTTGATCTCAGTCATAATTCGGTTGACATGGAGCTTTCCATAAATATGTATTTTTTTTTCTAGTACACATTTTTTTAACAAGGCAATTTTTTTTCTGGTAAAAATATTTTGTATAGTACAAATTTTTTCTAGTATAAATTTATTTTCTAATCCAATTTTTTTTCTAGTATAAATTTATTTTCTAATAATTTTTCTAGTGCAAATTTTTTTTCTAGTACATTTTTTGTTATTCTGTTTCGAGTACTATTTTTTTATATATCTAATATTTTTTTTTCAAGCAAAACTTATTTTTTCGGTAATAATTTTTTTCTGGTAAACAATTTTTTTCTATGTACAAATTTTTTCTCTTGTAAAATTTTCTTATAGACAATTTTTTTCTCAGAGGTGCCTGATCTGAAATTTTCCATGAAAATGATATTTGTTTCTGGTAAAAATTGTTTTCCAAAGCAGTTTTTTTTTCAGTACAATTTTTTTTCTAGTGGAAAATTTTCTAGTATAAATTTGTTTTCAAGTAAAATTTTTTTTGGTAAAAATTTTTGTTCTAGAAAAATTCTTATTTCTAGTACAAATATGAGCTACCTGACGGAATTTTCATACATATTTATTTTCTTGTAAAAATTGTGTTCTAGTACAATTTCTTTTTCTAGTAAAATTTGTTTTTCTACTACAATTTTTATTTAGTACAATATTTTTTTAGTACAATTATTTGTTAGTAAAATTTTTTTAGTAAATTTTTTGTTAGTACAATTATTTGTTAGTGGAGTCTTTTGTTAATACTATTTTTTGATGGTACAATTTTTTGTTAGTACAATTTTTTGTTAGTACAATTTTTTTTAGTACAATTTTTTGTAAGTACAATTTTTTGTAAGTACAATTTTTTGTAAGTACAATTTTTTGT